AGTGAGTACGAAACGGGATCGAGCCTCCAAAGGACACAAAAAAGCCCAAGGAACCTAGGAGCAAATTTCATATTCATGTCATGTCATGGTCAGCATTGTTTCTAGCAAACTCGGCCCATGGAAGTAATTCGGACGAATTGTCTTGGGTGCTATTAACAAAACAACGCAAAAATAATTCGAAAGACTGGTTAGCCCTCTCAGCCGTACCATTAGTCTGGGGGTGATAAGAGGATGAAAATGATAATTCCTAGAACCTCTATCAGATACAATATTGTGAGGAATGCCATGCAGATGGACAATCTCACGTATAAAGATCAGTACCAGATCTTGAGACGAGGGCAATTTCTTGAGTGGGATAAAATTAGCCATTTTACAGAAATAGTCAACAACCATGAGAATAATGGTATAACCATTAGAACTAGGAAGTTCGACAATGAAATCCATGGATAAGTGAGACCATGGAACCTCAGGAACGGGAAGAGGTTGCAACAAACCACAAGGCAGTTTATAAGGTACTTTAGAAACTGCACAAACAGAACAGGCCTGCACATACTCCTTAACATCCTTCTTGAGGGAAATCCACCAAGTCTCATGGTCTCATGACCGCGGATGTGGATTTATTAATACCTGGATGACCAGCAGTCATGTTGTCATGGAACACCTACATGAGATTAACCATTTCACCCAATGGGATGATCAATCTGTCCGGAGGTTTACCGCAGGGCGCCTGAGCCTCCATTATGGAGCCAAGAAGCGGAGAGGACAATGAAAGGATAGTGGAAGCAATGATACTTTCAGGGGGGATGATAGAGGATGTTTCTTGTTCTTGTATAGACTCAGTATCAAACTGTCTGGATAAGGCATTTGGCCTTGACATTTTTAGAACCAGGTCTATAAGTTATGAGAAAATTAAAGCGAGAAAGGAATAGTGACCACCTAGCCTGTCTAAAAGACAATCGCTTAGCATCACCGATGTAAGCTATGTTTTTGGGATCAAAAAGGGTTCCTTGGAACCTTCCAAAAGATGTCGCCACTCCTTGAGAGCTGGAATAATGGCCAACAATTCTCTATTGCCAATATCATAATTGCGCTCAGCAGGGGACAACTTTCTAGAAATGTAGCCATAAGAATGCAAAGGAATATCATGGCTCTCCCCGTCTGAGGCATCAACCTCCAGTATGAAAGGTTTACTGGTGTCTGGATGTATTAATATGTCTGCAGAAACAGAACTTTGTTTGAGAGTTTCAAACGCTTCAATAGCCTCCATAGACCATACCGTACTACTAGCCCCCTTGTGTGTCATATTTGTGATGGGGGCTATTTCAGAAGAAAAACCCTTTATAAACCTTCTGTAATAATTGGCAAAACCAATGAACCTTTAAATGGCTTTTAACCCAGTGGGCAAACGCCTCTCTAGAACCGATTCCAGTTTTTTAGGATCCATCTGAAATCCCGATGCAGAAATGTTATATCCCAAAAACTGTACTTCTGACTGATCAAAGATGCATTTCTCCAATTTACAATAAAGGTGATTTTTCAATAAGATTTGCAAAATTTGCTTACATGACCGTGGTGAGTTTGAAGGTCAGGGGAATAAATAAGGATGTCATCCAGATAGACTAAGACAAATTAGTAAATGTAATCCCTAAGTACATCATTAATAATATCTTGGAAAACCGCTGGAGCATTGCACAACCCGAATGGCATCACCAGATACTCATAGTGTCCACTTCTGGTATTAAATGCAGTCTTCCATTCAAATTGTAAGCACTTCTAAGGTCAAGCTTAGTAAACACTGGAGCCTGTCAAACAACTCAGCAATAAGAGGAATTGGGTAGGTGTTCTTAATGGTGATTTTGTTCAATGCCCTTTAATTGATACAAGGATGTAACTCACCATCCTTTTTCGACACAAAAAAGAATCCTGCACCAGCAGACGAGGATCGTTTGCGTATATGGCCTTTACTCAGTGAGTCCTTAATATATTCCTCCATTGTTTTACTTTCCTGTGGGGATAGAGCATAAACTGTTCCCTTAGGTGGCATAGCACCGGGCAGTACATTTATAGAACAGTCATACGGTCTATGGGGAGGCAATACATTAGACTGAGTCTTGCTAAATACTTCCTTAATGTCCTGGTATTGTATGGGAACCTTGGGAGTTTGAGGAGTGACAGCGGGTAATTCGATAGTACCAACTCTCTTGGTGATCTGTAATATGCACCTTTTATTACAGTCCTTACCCCATTCCAATATTTCCCCAACAGCACAATCAATATATGGGTTATGCTTACTAAGCCAAGGAAAGCCTAATATGATAGGAAAGGAAGGGGATGCAATAACCTGAAACGTTATATCTTCCTTATGCAAGGCTCCAATGGACATACTTACGGGTAAGGTTTTGTGAGTAATTAAGTGTTCTTATTATAGCCATATTTACCACCCTAACTCCTCCCACAGTTTTTACACTACATAGACAGTAATATATCGAAACGTGCAGATTGTTCCCTATTGGTGTGCTATTACTTTGTGGAACGTTTCGCTGAATGCTTCACGGAATATCGTCGTTCTTGTGGTGAAATTGGTCCCATAGGAATGAATGGCAAAATGTTCAAAACTAGAGTGGGAGCTGGCAAAAGCTGAAAAATCAGGACATGATTTCTAAACTGCCACCAATCCCTCATTTTCAAGCCCACCTACACAAATCTTATACCAAAACGTTCAGCTACCCTGCTGCCACTAAACATGTCCACGACTAAGCCATAGTCCTGATAGTTTTCACAATATGACCATTTGTTTGCAACTCACGCCGTCCATTGACATTCATTGAAACTCCACTCTAGCCAGCTCAAATTTGAAAGGCAAATTCTAAACTGCGACTGTGCCTTCATTTTTAATATTTCATAGACATACTATGCATCAAAATGTAGGTCTGGGTCTTGTGATTCTCACAATATAAAGCTCTTCGCTGTAGGAATTATAGTTTTTAAAATACGACCATTTGACCAGGTTGGAGCAGCCAGTGATGTCATAGACAGGGCCTTTTGTACACCTGCTAATGTTTTTATAAATGTATGTTTTAACCCCTTAAGGACGGAGCCAAATGTACACATTGTGAACAAAACAAAATGTAAACAAAACCTGGCATTTGTGCTACATGTCTGTCCAACCGTAATTCACCTATTTCATATTAAATGCACCCACCCTTATTATATATCATTTTATTCAGGGGAAACAGGGCTTTCATTTAATATCAAATATTTAGCTATGAAACATAATTTAATATGAAATAAATGGGAGAAAATAATTTTTTTTAAAAAATTTGTAGTTCTACATGACATTTTAACTATCAATGTCATAATACTGTTTGCTTTTACTGCAATAAAATACACATATTTGTATTCAGCAAAGTCTCACGTGTAAGACAGTACAACCTATGTACAGGTTTTATGGCATTTTGGGAAGTTACAGGGTCAAATATAGCACGTTACATTTGAAATTGAAATTCGCCAGATTGGTTACGTTGCCTTTGAGACTGTATAGTAGCCCAGGAATGAAATTTACACCCATAAAGGCATACCATTTGCAATAGTAGACAACCCAAGGTATTGCAAATGGGGTATGTCCAGTATTTTTTAGTAGCCATTTGGTCACAAACACTGGCCAAAGTTAGCGTTAGTATTTGTTTGTGTGTGAAAAATGCAAAAAATGCCAATTTTGGCCAGTGTTTGTGACTAAGTGGCTACTAAAAAAGACTGGACATACCCCGTTTGCAATACCTTGGGTTGTCTACTATTGCAAATGGTATGCCATCATAGGGGTAATTTTCATTCTTGGGCTACAGTAGGGTCTCAAAGGCAACCTAACCAATCTGGCGAATTTTAATGTGAAAAAAATGAAACGCAAGCCTTATATTTGACGCTGTAACTTTTGAAAACACCATAAACCCTGTACATGAGGGGTACTATTGTACTCGGGAGACTTCGCTGAACACAAATATTTGTGTTTCAAAACAGTAAAAAGTATCGCAGCAATAATATCGTCCGTGTAAGTGCTGTTTGTGCGTGAAAAAATGCAAAAAACGTCACTTTTACTGGCGATATCATCGTTGTAATACATTTTACTGTCAGCAGCTCTGAAACCCTTACAGCAAGCAGGCATCCATTTTCCCTCCAGTAACCGGAAAACAACACAATTTTTTTATGCCACACATGACTTTTATGCATACTGTGACGAAATGCCTTTTGTTACTGGAGTTTTAGGTGACAGGCTGCCCTTTGCCCCAGGCTGTTGGAGGAGCCTGATTGCCAGCCTCCTTCCTTATGACTATGGCCCCAGTGAGATTTTGCCCTTTAAAAACAATGGCCATATCAGATTTTATTTCACTACTTCTGGCCCCTTAAGAACTGTGAAGGATTTGTACTTTTTATTTAACACTTCGGATGCAGCCGAAGTGGCCACCATTCGACAAATGAACACGTGGCGGCGGCCATTTTAATTTAGTCGAACGTGGTCAGCGGTGTGTGCCCCTGAATCCTTGGAACTAAAATCGGCTACACATTTGCACGAACACCGCTGACCCTGACCATCTACTCAACTTCGACTAAAGTCTTAGTGCACTCGACAATTCGAACGCCATGTTACACTGTGCTAGTTCGTGGCAGTTCGTGCATTCGAATGGCACTTAGTCATTTTTTCTATGTGAACTGACTTTAACATTGAAAATAGACCGGCGCGCACATCCAAACGCCGTGGAACTGTTTTGGGCAGGAAATCCTGCGTGCAGTCGGTCAAAAGAGGCTTCCCCAAAACTTTAACCTCATAGCAAATTTACTTTGTGCATGGTATCTGAGCACTGTTCAGCTATATTGGGCACTCAGATCCGAGCTATCTGGGGATGAGTTCTGTGTAATATAATAAGAATTATGTATTTTTATGTACTTTTAAGTATTTTTGCTGTTAGTATAAAATGTAGATATTTTCTGTACCTGGAGATAATTGAGTTTACTGCAGTGCCTTAAGCCAATTATCTCCAGGATAGAGGGAAAGGGATTTTACTGTGTATGTGGGAGTGTTATTATGTTCCCATTGGTTTGTGTCCCTTTTGTCACAGTTTACCACCAGGTCCAGGGGGTGTGCCTCTGGCCTGAAAAACTTGTATATAAGGAGTAATAAACGCTCATTAGAGTCAGATCATCTTGTACTTTCATGTTTGGGGGATTGGAGAACTACACTCTGGGGATTGCTATAATCACTACGCTCTGCTGGGATTCGGAGAGGTTGACCTACTGGAAGCTGGACCCTGGTCTTGGGTCCAGAGTGGGTGGAGACGGCGAGACCCCAACCAAGCTGGCGGGGTGCTTTGAGTCCTCGGGAAGCACTAGGAGCTCCATCAACGGAGGGTACCCGGTCAGGGTGCAAGCGGTTCCGTTACACATACTCATTGGAACAGCAAGGCAATTTCCGGGGAGGTGTGGCATGCGTGACAACTTCCACGGGTGATTAATGGACGTCCACAAACTGAAATTGACATCATAGCTACCCTAACTAATACTAGTTTTCCACTGTCAACCATATACTGCCTCTAAGATAATGAGACTTGGGCACTGAGAGGTAATCTCTCGTTAGATATCAGTCACCATTACAGGACTGTCATGGCAAATTAAAGTTCACTTAGCTGTTATAATTGTCACATTTTGCCTCTGACATATTTAGAATTGGGCACTGAGAGGCTATTATGTATTAGTTGGTTGAGATTACCGCCAGATAGCTGCAGCGATATTCTGTTTACACAGCTGATTAGCTACTTAGTTTACCTAGCCGTTTAACTTATTACATTTTGCCTCTAACAAACTTAGAATTGGGCATGGAGAGGCAATTATGTATTAGTTGGCAGATACTACCGCATGATAGTTGCGGCAATATTGAATTAACATAGCCGATTAACCACTTAGTCACCTTTCTAAGCGCTTGAGTCTCTTTTATCATAATTTTGTGGACTGGGCAAGGCGGCTAACAGTGAGAGAGAGTAGATTTTGGGTAAGGGGTGCCCTCGAAGGCACAATAGTCTGACCATCTATGCAGATCAGGGCTACTTCTATTTTCTGATTTCCTCTACTCTTTACTGTCTTTACGTCACTATTCAGAAGTGTACTTAATTATACGGTCCTAGTACCACATAATGCACCAACTGGTGTTTTAGCACTGTATTGCCCTTAATAGTGGAAAGACCTTGTAAATATTTATTTTATTTTTTTCACACTTAATCTTATATTTATTTAATTATTTTTTTTTTACCAAGCATAATAAAAGTTAAGTTTTAGCATTTGCTTGTTCTCACTTAGATAGGATTTTGGAGATTTATGATTTTTGTTTCTGTTCTGTTTTTCTATTAGCAATTACTTAGGGGTTATCCCCCATTTGTTTTGGAAATCTCCAAGTCCCTGTCTTTACTCAATTGTCACAATTGGCTCCTTTTTTCTTTTCTTTGTATATTTACAGTTAAAAAGTATGTCTCATTCACAATAAAACAAATTTAATTACAATGGGAATCCATTGATGCCTTATAAAAATCTTATATAACATTTAAACCTTTTCCACATTCAGAAAATGTCTGTTTTGTGTGAGTTTTCTGATGTTTAAAAAGAGTTCCACGGTTACCAAAACATTTCCCACATTTAGAACATGAGTAGGGTTTCTCTCCTGTGTGAGTTCTCTGATGACAAACAAGATTTGATTGCGAGATGAAACATTTCCCACATTCAGAACATGAGAAAGGTTTCTCGCCTGTGTGAATTCTCTGATGATTCACAAGATGAAAGTTCCTGCTAAAACATTTCCCACATTCAGAACAAGAGAAAGGTCTCTCTCCTGCATGAGTTCTCTGGTGACTAAGAAGATGTGAATGTCTGCTAAAACATTTCCCACATTCAGAACATGAGAAAGGTTTCTCTCCTGTGTGCATTCTCTGATGGTCAATAAGAGCTGATTTGGTAACAGAACATTTCCCACATTCACTACATGAAAAAGTTCTGTCTCTTGTGTGAATTCTCTGATGACTAACCAGATTTATATACTGGCTAAAGCATTTCCCACATTCAGAACAAGAGAACGGTTTCTCTCCTGTGTGAGTTCTTTGATGATTCACAAGAATAAAGTGCCTGCTATAACATTTCCCACATTCGGCACATGAGAATGGTTTCTCCCCTGTGTGAGTTCTCTGATGTAGAACCAGATTTGAGTGCTGGCTGAAACATTTCCCACATTCGGAACATACATTCTTTGGTTTGCTGTTTAGTATCTCATTTGAAGACATATAAGATTCCGAGAGATTATTTGATTTTTGAGAGCTGGAACCTTTGGTTTGTTCATTAAAAGATTTCTTTATGCCTAATGTATTTCTGTTCTTTTCATGTCCTTCAGGAGAACTTCTGCTTGCGGAAACACCTGAAAGAAACGTACAGGGATATTAAAGAAATCTGTCACTATAAATTATTTATTGATTACCATACTTCGAAAAACTGACAACATTTTCACGGCATGACAGAAATGTAACTATCAAACATCACACACACACCTTGCTTTAACCACTTCCCTATCAAAATTCTGTATACACACACACTTTAACTTTCAATTGATTTGCAAATTAAAATTTAGTCCATAAAGCCTCACTAACCACATTTATACTTCAGGGATTACCAGCTTGTACAGGAACAAACATCTCTCAGAGAAACTCACTCCACATTTGTAATGTTTGCTAATATCTTAGAATAACAGTCCCCCTCTGCACAGTGAAAGGAAACTTTAAATATGCTACCATTCCTACAGTCAGGAGAGGAGAAGTAGTGATTAGTTTCTCTCATATGCCTGATTTAGCTGTACTTCCTGGATGGGGGCTGTAATAAACGTTTACTCGCAAGTTGAAGTAAACTTAGAATTAATAATAACATTAATAACTAGAAAATAATAAATAAAAACTGTGTAAAGTCAGAGTCCACACTCCTTGCTTTTGCAATTCAATAATATGTATTAATAGAGGCTAATCAGACAAATAAACAATACATATACATTTGAAATAGGCTAGTATATGTTTCTACCAAAACTAGTCATTGGTTGAATGGAAAGTAGACTAAACTAAACTAACACAGTTAAACAGGCATAGGCATGTGATACAGTTGCCACTCCATTGATCATCAGCTGAGAGTGAGTGAGAGAGAGTGTGAGTGAGTGTGAGAGAGAGAGAGAGAGAGAGAGAGAGAGAGTGAGAGTGTGTGTGTGTATAGTGGGGAGAGGGAATAGAGAGGATGAATTCAAGGAGAGAGAGAATGTGCTATGCACTAGGCTTTACCAGGATAGCCCTTCCTTCTGCTGGACACACCTCCCTCAGTCAATCCCTTAGGATGTAACCAAACCAGTGTGCCTCCTGGTGGGAGGGGGATTGCACTGGAAGGGAATGGAGGAGTTTATCAGCAACCCAACTGGTTTTGTCTGGTGAAAGGCCATGTGCTTCGCAGAGGACTTCATTATTGCCTAAGTGTAGAATGGGGCTTGAATCCCTGTATTAGAACACAATAACACTTCATTGGCATACAGTTTGGCTGTTAATCAGATCCCCCCCACTTATCACAAGGGCAATATACTTAAATATATGCATTTTTCACATTCTGTCAGAATTTGACTAAACTGTACTGCTACTAAGGTCACCTAGGTCCTTACAATTACCTTCAGTGTATTTCACCATTCCTAAATATTTTGTTGTGACACCTACCGTGTGCAGAAAAACCATGTTTTCCTTAAATTCATTTAAAAAAAAAAAAAAGGAAATGCTATCCTACTATGGATAGATGGTGTGCTTAGGATACCTATTTCAGGGGTATCCCACGATACAAACACAAAATTACCAATATATATATATAAAAATAAAAAGATGTAAATAGGTACCTAAATAATAAGGGGGGAGGGGAGGAGAGAATTACATGTAATAAACTTTAATTGTTTGACACTGGATAAGAGGGAAGTGAATTAAAATGTTATGGAAAAAGGAGATCACAATATGCATTGCAAAAAAATTATTACAATAAGCTTAAATCTGCTGTAATAAATTCATTTATTTCTAGAAGAAGAGCATTCACCAGAGCCTTTTGATATATTTTCCTTAAGGCTAAAAAGCGCTACAAAGTGTTGATCAATATCCCCTCCCCCCATTGTAAGTGTTTAGTTAATTAATGTACGACAGTTATTGTGACAAAGGTAATCTCGTTACTGGCTTTTGGAGGATCCTGTTTGCCACGTTTGGGCACGGGACCATGTGAACAGTGGGTCAAAAAGAGACTTCCGGGAATTTCTTGAATCCCTGCTCTGATCTGGGTGATTTTTGGATATGTTGTTCACCCAGCTCAGGGCTATCGGGGGGATGTGACTATATATGTTTTGGGGTACTTTCTGAACTTTGTAAAAATGTGTTTTTTTCTGCCTGGAGAAAATTGAGTTACTTACAGGACTTTACTCAATTATCTCCCAAGCAGAGGGGAAGGATTGAGTGCTCCACATGGGAATGTCACAGACTGTATGTTTGTTCTGATTGGTTTGTGTTCCTGTGCCCCATCAGGTCCAGGGGGTGTTCCTCTGGCCTCAAGAATTGTAGAACAGCCAACCTGAACCATTAAACCTCAGATCATCTTGAACCTTCATGAAGTCTTGGCTCATGTTTGGGGCATTGGAGAACTACACTCTGGGGATTGCTATAATCACTATAATCCCCTGAGTATGATCACTAAGCTCTTATAAGAGCTTGTTCCTGCTCTCTGGATTAAGAGAGGTCTACCTACTGGAAGCTGGATCCTGGTCTTGGGTCCCAACCAAGCTGCGGCAGTTTGTGGGGTTTACGGTGGTTATAGTTTTCCAGTGCAGTGCTTATGGTACTCGCAAGCACTAGGAAGCAGCGATTGATGGAGGTACCCGGTCAGGTGCCAGGCGGTCCGTCACAGTTATTAGGGTCATTTAACTGACCTTTATTTTCTTTCATAAAAGTATTTTTCCATAATTACTACTCCTCCTTCTTATCTGTTGGTTTGATAACAATATTCTTATCTTCTTTTCACTATTTAGTGGCCATTTTATCTTGATCTTTTAAAGGAATACTATAGTGTTAGGAACACATATGTATTACTAATACTATAGTATTACGATCACTATAAAAAAAAGGAGGTATTTCATTGCGTGTGGATACGAATAGAGTTCAATGAGTCAGTCTAACACCCAAATCTGGTGTTTCTTGTCCGGTAAAATTAAAGTCAAATATAGCAGAGGGGTTGGTGTAGCGCCTGAGTAGTCCTTAGAAGATATATAACAACTTTTCTGGAGCTTCAACGCAGCTCTACCTTTGGCACTTGAGGGTTAATGATATTCTTATAAATCGTATTAGGAATAATCTAACGTCCACCACCTTTAACCAGATTGTCTTTCATGCCATAGTGACCAAACCCATGGCTCTGGTCACTTAAAAAAATAAAATAAAATAAAAAAAAAATTATGCCTAGGCTGATGCATCAGAAACAAAACGTGTTGCCATTTTGGTGTCCTTAAAAAGTATGTCTTCTAAACTTCCTCCTGAGAGGGTTTTTAGATTTTCAATCTATACTTTCTGTGCTTTCACCACCGAAGGAGCAGTAAGGAGAGCATCATCCAGGGATGCAGATGTGAGAAAGGATTTACATAGTGCAG